CAGCCTTGATGCAGAATGCATTCGAATCGCGTCGGCCAACTCATCGCTAGCTACAACTTTTACCCGTTGTTCTAACAACGTTAAGACGGCTTATCGACTTCTTGAGAAGAATTCTAAGAAGAAAGTAAACCTACAGACATCGGTCTTGTTTAACTATAAAGTTGTGATGTGTGCAACTAACCTAACCTAACCTTGATCTACCTATTGCGAAAGGGTTAAAGTATATATAATTTTTTATCACATGATATTGTTTTGTTTTTTCCCTGCGTTTGAATTATGTTAAATGTGAACACAATACATATATTTGGAGTTGGGTCAAATTTTTGTTCACTAACAAATTTTTGTGTTTTTTATAGCATTCATTGTTGTAACTTGTTGATACTGGATGGAATTCCTCTGTCACATAGTAAAAGACGTGTACCTTGATTGTCCTAGCCTCTCTGTATCTAATCAAAAACACCAAAGAAGAATTAAGTATGCAACTTAAAGGAATGAAATCAAGATTGATGGCCAAACTAGTAGCTACACTTGTAGCATTGATAAGGATTTTACAGTAAATATTCATTCATTAATTAGCCACGCCATGTTTTTTGTTCATTTTTGAGCATGATGGTGGGTGAAACAAAATATGTAGCCTAACTAACTAATGAATGATTATTTGCTGTAAAATTATTGTCAGTGCTAAAGCATTTCTACCAGGTTGGCTTTCATTCCTTTAAGCTGTATGCTCAATCCTTTTTTGGCCACACCTTTTTTTCACACCTAAGTGACAACCGATAGTAACCAACATTAGCTTTAGAATTGCAACCCTATTATTTGTAACAAACCTATACTTACCAGAACCTAACCAGATTCTTTAAATATAAGGTGTTAGTTTTTCCTTTCTAAAACAGTGTTAATAACTTTCTTTATAGTAATGCCATGGTATCTAAATTAACAGTTTCTTGTCATCACCCACATGCACTTGGTATAGCCATATCAAGCATCATTATTTACACTAATTACTTGAGCTAATACCACATAACCCTAAACACTTTTTAATTAGGATAATTTCATAAAACTTAGCAAACTTATGCTTAAAAGCTGAAAATCAATAATAACCATTCACCTATATGATTCTTTTGAAGACTTGAGCTAGAAACTGCTAATCTAGTTTGTTTGGCCAAACCAATACTTATGTATCTGCACGTCCTTTCACCCTATAGTTATGCTGCTCTAAATCAACAGTCTTTAATCCAAATGACAAAAAACAGTCCATTTCTATTCTTAGGTGAAGCTGTAGTAAAACTTTCAGACTGATAGCTCATGTGACTTTTTGCAGAGGCATGTGCAAAAAATTGTGATCAAATTTGAGCAGGTTTTGTTGAATAACATTGCACATGTGGTTTATATTTAGACCAAATTTGACACTTAATTGTAGGTTGTGAAGATCTGTAAGTGTACTAAACGTGAAAAAAAAGTTAAGTATGTTTTTCTATCAAATAAGGTTTCCATTTTGCTTGGTCAAAACAATACTTATGTATCTGCATGTCCTTTCACCTTATAGTTTTACTGCTCTAAACAGTCGTCTTTTATTCGAATGACAAAAACTAAAAATGGTCCACTTTTACTCGTTGGTGTAGCCATAGTGAAAATTTCAGACCAATAGCTCACATGACTTTTTGTATAGGCATGCACAAAAATTATGGTCAAATTTGAATAGTTTTTGTTGGATAACTTTGCACATGGTTTGTATTTAGACCAAATTTGACAACTAATTGTAGGTTGTAAAGATCTATCTGTGTAACAAATTTGAAAAAAAGTATGATTTTCTGTCAAATACATTTTTTGTACTTTTGGTGCAAAGAACAAAAAAGGAAAGAAATTCAGTCAATATTATAGATTTTATATCTAGTGTATTTCTTAATGAATTACCTTGAAATTTGGTATGTGAAGTAAGAGCCCAGTAGAGCATATTGACAGTCCGAGCTACAGAAAATGGAAAATCGCTGTGTGTCCTGCAATTTGTTTCGGCTGTACTACACACTGCCATGTGTCTTGATTGGTGGTTTTTAGTCATAATTTTCTTTTTTTTTATTACAGGCCATCTTTCAAGTATTTCTCCTGGTACACAGCAGCTATTGGTTTGTTTGGATGTGGAGTTATGATGTTTGTCATCAGTCCTCTCTACGCGGCTATTACTGTTATTATGTGCTTGATACTTGTCATTGTCCTTCATCTCCGTTCACCTCCAGTTCGCTGGGGATCCATTAGCCAGGCTTTAATTTTTCACCAGGTGAATTGGCTTAACTTAATTGTATTGAAGTCAAGTTATGTTTGTATGCTATCAGTTCACTGTTAATTTAGAGCTAATTTAAGAGCTGTGTAGGTTCAGAGCGTATTGTTAGATTCTTGTTTTTCTATATCTGTGTATGTGGAATTAAAGCTGAATATGTGTGAATTTTATAATGCTCACTATTTCTAAGTTTCTAATCTTGTAGTGATGCTAAATTTCCATCTTGTTTTGTATTTGAACTAACTGTTTTGCTTTTATAAAAACATGACTGATTATTCCTTTTGGTTATATTATATAGCTACTGTCAATTTATTTTTGTTTTAAATGTGTTTAGTGTTTTTATTTTGGCTGCATTTTCTCGTACATTCAAAAAGAAATGTTTTTACAGGTTTTTCTACATAGCTATTAATGTTGGAATTACATGTTTAGTGTTTTTGTTCTTACAGCTGTTTCTGGGTATTGAAAAAGTATTGTGTGGTAGTGGTTTTTAGATATTTGTAGATAGCTACTAACATTTTTATTTTAGTTTTGGGTTTAGTTTTTTTTATTCTGACTGCTGTTTTTGTGTTCAAAAAGTAGTGTCTGATAGTGTTGTTTTTACAAATACTAGCACATAACTACTAATGTTTTTATTCTTACAGCTGTTCCTGTGCATTCAAAAAGTAGTGTATGTTATTACTGTTGTTAAAGATTTCTGTACATAGCTACTGATATTTTTATTTGAATTATTTGTGTATAGGCCTTACATAAAGAGCTAGTGTTTGATTATTTTGCATATTGTTTTTATTTTTATTGTTGTAAAGTGTTCTCTTTTTGGGTAAGTTATTTGATGAAAATAATGCACAGTCCATGTAATGATAATGAATTAGTTTATTTCTTCCATAATGCTAATATCACTTGTATACAGTTGTAGTCTCTAGTTCACAAATTATGTTTTCTCTTTCAACAGAAATTTACTTACTAATGGTACTGTAGCTAATGTACAAAGAAACTTGTAACTTATCCTTGTTTTTAGATATTTTACAAAGTCTCTCAATAATTTACATTCACACACATTTTATTTATATTCTCAGACTTCTTTTATAAACTTTAAACCTAGTGTCATCATAATTTCTACAGATTCCTATAGCAGGCAACCAAATTAAAACATTGAATGTATAGCTTAAATTATTTTCTGTGAATAGTTATTGCATTTCTTTGGTGCATATTTTATTTGTGAAAGTTGTAATTTTTATGTATTTATATGTTTATATAGGTTTTTTTATTATTTCATGTGTCTGTGATTATTTTTGCTAGTGTAATTTATAGAATGTTTTTATTGGAATATTTGTTAGTGTTTTTATCTAATGCTTTTTTATGGTGCATAGTATTTGTCAATGTGTTTTAATTTGTTGTCAAGTAATGTTATATTTTTTATGCAAAAAAAATAAGATATTAACATCTGATGTTGTTATGTTTCAGGTTAGAAAGTACCTGTTACTGCTGGATAGCCGAAAGGACCACATCAAGTTTTGGCGACCTCAGTTTTTGTTGATGGTGGCAAATCCTCGCTCCTGTGTTCCTCTGATCAAGTTTGCCAATGATTTAAAGAAGAGTGGTCTTTACGTACTTGGTCATGTTAAAATTGGAAATATGACATCACTTGATACAGACCCTGTAACAGAAGAATATCCTCTATGGCTTTCTCTAATGGATAAGTTGAAAGTAAGCAAAGAAGCTTATTGTGCATGGTGTCACTAATTTGTATAGAGTAGGAGGGAACTAAAATAATTAAAAAAAGGTCTGGGGTCCTCCCCCAGTTAGAACCAGGTTGTAACATGAAACTACATTTGTTTATCTTAAGTAGCTTTAAACTTGTAACAGTATACATCTATTTATACCTAAATTTTATTGTTTTATTGCCCTTTGATTGTTCTTTGAACCATGTCTAACTACTACTATTCAGGTTATTATAAGTTGTAAATCACTTGGAGAACGTGGAGCTCATATTACGCTATTGAATTACATTATCCACGAGCTGCTCATGTACGTGCCTCATTAAACATTTTTATTATATTATATTATTATCATTTATTTTACCTAATCTAACCTTAACTAACCTAAAAAGATTCCTATTTTTACACTTTTGTTACTTTTATAATAATAAATAAAGAATTAACATGAAAAACAAGAAATTAAGTACTTACCCAGGTCTTCTGTTTTTTGTTGTTGATGGCACTTAACCCTAATTATTTTGTACTAATGGTAGTAATGCACTAAATAATTTTTACTTAATTAAGTAATGCATCAAAGAACATAGAATAATAACATGCAAAAAAACAGACAATTTCCCATAACTATCACAATTTTTCTGGCTTTCTAACAATGCGACAAGAGCTGTTACAAGTTCATCCAAGCTAGTTGCTATCTTTCCCATAGGAACGAAGCTTGTAATAACAGAGAAAATGACAATTCTCTGTTCAGAAAACAATGTAATATAATATGTCTTTTGAAAACCTTGGGTTTCTATTGGATATACATAATATAATATAAAGAGTAAGAGAGAACTATTAACAAATGCTGAAAGAGAGAATGTGACAGGTGGGTGTGGCAAGAGGGAGTCTGATTTTCTATTTACTGGCTCTGTAACTAAACAAAATTGAAGACTATAAAAATTATGGTTTATCTGAGCAATAACGACTTTATGGAGTGTAACTCACATTTAATTTCATACTTTTTTGAGTGGTTGTGGATAAAATAGCCATGATGACATGCTAAGAGAAAATGTGTCACGTGGGTCACACTAGTGGAAATTTTGGACAGTTAAAAAAGCAAATGAATTTTGCCGTGTGTATAGATGAAAATAGCCTGGGGAAACCCTCAGCTCTAGGTGTTAATGTTATGTTTCAGTAGAGTTATCAGTTCAGGAAGAAGTTTTTACTTATCTCTTGCATCATTTAAGTAATTGTTAAAAACATCTGAACTATACATGCTCACCTACATGTCATTAGTTATATACAGATACACTTGCATATATCACTGTTTATATACACATATACATTCATATATATATATATTTTTTACTTTAAATTTTTTTATTAAAATCCTTTATTATCACTGTATATGAATAAATTGGGCATCAGAACATAGTTAATCCTATCGCCACAGACATACTTTACTGTGCACGTCACAAAGGAGGATTACTAATGGTTTAAGTCAAATATCAAAAATTGTAAAAGGGTTTACAAGTCAGGTATCTAAAATTTTGAAAGGTTTACTAATAGTATAAAACTATGACTAATGCCACACTCCTTTAAATTCATTTCTGCACATGTCACATAAAGTGTTACTGAGCTACATACAAAATCTAATTAAACCATTTTACAATCAATGTATTTAATGAAATTATCATTATCAAATCCATTATACTTTTAAAGTTTTAAATTATTCAAGTTATTATTCCTTTATTTTGTAAGAAACCTCTGAAACAAAGAAAACTTCATTTTTTTTTGTCACGTGATCCATGTGCAGTTAAAATATCTTAGCTTTGGTTTCTTGGATTCCTGTTAAGCTTAGTCCCAGTTCTCCTATGACAGTCTAGATAAGCTTCTATGCATACAAGGTCAAATTTCAAACAAAAATTTCACATTACAACTGCAACAATTCCAAGAAAAAGGTTATATCATTCTCCTTCTCTGATAGAAGCCACACCCAATTTCCAAATAAGAAAAGAATGTTGCTTAGCAACAGATTAGACTTGAATGGCATCCTTATAACCAATAGAAAAACCAGATTTCCTAGTATATTTCCCATACATTATGCCACATGTTGTAATCATTGACTACGAAGGCATACAGTTACTAAGTATTTTTTCTTCTTATACATATTAGTTTGATAGACAGTTAAATTGCATTTAGGAATTACTTTTACATTTTAGTTAATTATGTATTATTTGTGTTTCAAAATTCATATTTGAAAGGTTTTAATGATTTTACAAATATATCATAAGCTTAGCGTTGCTCCACAAGTGTTATGTAACTAAGCGAATGCAAAAACTTTTGCCTGAGGCAAAACTGTCTCTGCCAATAATAACATTATATTGCCCATGGGCATCCTTTAAAGTGTGTTAACATAAATAGTAAAAGATAAAGAATTGGAAAGGAAAATAAAACATTAAAAATAAACTATAAATGAAAAGGTAAAGATATGAAATTATGTATATGAGTCAAAGAAGATATTTTAAGATTATTCAATGAAGAGTTAAAAGGTATGTACATATTTAAATTTCTTATTTTTAAACATTTCATTGCACTGTATTTTGATGATAATAGCTATAGTTAGTGGTATGGTAGAGAAAATGGAAAATAAAATATTCATTTAAGAAGTTCTAGAGATCATGCAAGTGAAATGTGAAAACTGTAAGATAATAAATAGTATTTTTATACTTAACATGAAAACATCTTTCTGGTGAACTATTCAAAGCCCAAGTGCAAATAACTGTATTAACTAACGAATGTTTTATTAGAAATTGTAGGAAAAATCAAGAATAAATGTTTTATTTCTTGGAACTACATACCTTTAGGAAAGTTCTTGTCAAATTTTAACCATTTTCATCAAGTCTTTTTATTTTTTGAATGAAATATGAGGAGAATGACTTTACCTACATACAATGTAAGTGGTTGGTAGCCATAGCAATAAGTCAAGTATCTGAAACTATAAAAGAATCACTAATAGTGTAAAGTCAAATATCTAAATCTCTAAGAGGATTGATAAAAGTATGAGTAAAACATCTGAAACAGTGTTACTGTTAGTGTAAATCAAGTATCTAAAATTGAAAGTGTTACTGTTAGTGTAAGTCAAGTATCTAAAACTGAAAGTGTTACTGTTAGTGTAAGTCAAGTATCTAAAACTGAAAGTGTTACTGTTAGTGTAAGTCAAGTATATAAAACTGTGAAAGAGCTGCTACTACTATTATAAGTCAAATATCTAAACTGTAAAAGAATGACTTTTTTTAGAAATTTGTTCTATTGTCTTCAAGTTAAGAATACTTTGTAACTTTTTGTTATATATTAACCCTTTCAGGGGGTCTGATTTTCTATTTGATGGCTCTATAACCAAACAAAATTGAAGGCCATAAAAATTATTGCTTGTCTGAGAAAAGATGATTTTTTAGTGAGTAATTTACATTAAATTTCATACTTATTGGAGGGGTGGTGAAGAAAATAGAGAAGAGGGGATGCCTAGAGAAAATATGTCACATTTCTCACACTAGGGGAAATTCAGGATTTTTTTAAATATTACCTTATAAAATTAAGATCTTAAACTTATATACTATTATAATATGGATTATTAGCTACAGTTCTATCCTGTACTAATTGGCATAACATAAAAAGTAGTTTAATTAAATTTTGAATGTAAATTATTAATCACAGTTTGAGATATTTGATGTCAAGGAAATCTTTCACAGTTTTAGATATATAGACGTTTTACTGTTTCAGATATTTTATTCATACATTTAGTAATTTTTCTGCAGTATTAGACTTCTGAGTTATACTAATAGTAGCCCTTTTACAGTTTTAAATACTTTACTTATACTGTTAGTAGCTTTTTGTATTTTTACATACTTGACTTATACTAGTAGTAGCCCTTTCACAGATTTACATACTCAACTTACACTGTTAGTAGCCCTTTGACACTTTTAGATACTTTACTTATACTATTAGTAGCCCTTTGACACTTTTAGATACTTTACTTACACTGTTAGTAGCCCTTTGACACTTTTACTACTAACAGTGTAAGTAAAGTATCCCCCTTTGACACTTTTAGATACTTTACTTATACTGTTAGTAGCCCTTTCACAGTTTTAGATACTTTACTTACACTGTTAGTAGCCCTTTGACACTTTTAGATACTTTACTTACACTGTTAGTAGCCCTTTCACAGTTTTAGATACTTTACTTATACTGTTAGTAGCTCTTTGACACTTTTAGATACTTTACTTACACTGTTAGTAGCCCTTTGACACTTTTAGATACTTTACTTACACTGTTAGTAGCCCTTTGACACTTTTAGATACTTTAGTTATACTGTTAGTAGCCCT